TGGAGGCGCAGGTTTTTCTTGGAAAACAAGGTTAGGAGCCTAAAGAGGTATGAAAAGCCCACCCCAGGCTGTGCTCTAATGAACTGGCTCCAGTTAACAAGCATGGTTTACACTGAGATTGCATACCTCTATTTCGGTCCGGAGGCTCTTCGTGTATATGCAATATAATAAATCTGTGTGCTATTGGCAGACTCGTGTCTCTGGCGTAAAGCAGCCAGTGCAACAGTTGTTCTCAAGTGTTTTAGATTTGAGGCACCCCTGGGTAGACTTAAGGCACCTACAGAAAATGCTAGCTGTTAGTTGTCACTTGCTTTATTACTACAAAAAAAATAATAGAGCCATTCTTTTGTTACAAAAACTCAGAAAGGCCACAGCCAAGCAGTGTTTTTGACCCATTGCATTCCTCTTTATCTTGTGCATCATGTTTGTGGACCTAATAGTGCTAACATTGCATGGCACCCTGCTGCATCTTGAAAGGATCTCGAGACGCCCTGGGGTGGTCCCGCATCCTGCAACAGAGGAAGACAGAGACCCGTTTGGCATGTGGGTTACAAGTGAAACCGAATGGGACACAGCATACCAGAGGCCTCCTGATCCCTGTCAAACTCACTGTAAGATTATTTCCCCCCCATCTCAGACTGTAGCATGCAGCATTGGGCCAACAACGGGCTTTACAGACGCAGGTAATTGCCAGAAATGAGATGCACGTCCCATCTCCCATCATCCGCCGGCTAGGGCTGGGGAGCTGTCTGTGTGTTGCGAGCTATGAGGAAGCCGCCATGCAATGCCAGAGACTTCTCTTTCCTCTCCACAAAGACACGTGAGGAGTTGCCCACTTCCCTCTGTTGTTCCCTTTCACAAGAAACTTAAGAAGAAAACAGATATGTATTTCCACAAAAATGTCCAGGGTTACAGCTGCGTGGCCCGCTGAGCTAATCCAAGTTGCTAGGAACCGTTTGGAGGTGAAGTGTCAGCTATAAACTCTTTGGGGAGAGAGAATTAGCTGGGTAGACACAGCATGATGAATGAGCCTTTTGTGATACCTATCAACACCCGGCCCTTCGGTTTCCTTCCTGCAGCCCCGACAGGCCAACCCAGGCTCTCTACGCCGGGAGCGAGCCGCAGAGGCTCCCCCCGGAGCACAGTCCAGGCTCCAAGCACCCCGCCGCGATGGGGAAAGTTGACTCCGATCATTCCCAGTAATCTCTTACCCCAAGGACAGGCCAAACCAAACCCTGTTCTCATGCACAGCTGCTCCAGCTGATTTGCAAAACGAATATAAACGCTTGAGATGTACAAGGGTCTTGCCACCTCCTACTTCAGGGAATCCGAATGACTCCGCTCCGTGCCATGGTCCCCGTACTGTTTCCTTTTGCAAAGGTGCCTGTGTTTTGGGGGAGTGGGAGTGCTTGGCCAACTGCTCTGATTAGCTGTGCAAAGACACCCTGGAGCACACGGGGAATCCAGGGGGTCGGGGTTGGAGACGCTGCTCTAATGAAGAGAACTGGGGACCCCCAGGAAATCCCAAGGTCTTTTGTTTCAGAAATATTAGTGCTTATGGTTGAAGGACTCCTTGGACTTTGGCTTTATAGCAGGCACCATTGATAACCTAAGAGCCTTGCACCCTAAAAACCTTGTAGGCTCTTAGCCTATAAACCAAGTTGGAGGCCTTGGACCCCGCAAGCTTCAGAGCCAAGAGGTTGGTAAGTCTGGAAGCCGTGGCTTGAGCTGGGGCTTTTCGTGCTTCTCAACTCTGAAGCCTTGCAACATCCATGGGCATCCAAACCCTTATTGCTAAAGGATGAGAGCTCCAGGTTGACCCAGGACTTCATAGCATCCTGGCTTCCAGCTCTTCAGCAGGCACGTGGGAAGCCCTGATCACCCTCGAGGTTTCCAGGCCCTTGGCTTTGTAGCACAGAGCCAGGCAGCTCCAGGACCCCCATCTGCATCTGAGCCCTGGTTGGGAGGGGAGAAGGCAGTCTGGGACCTGGGCAGGGGACTGCCAACGCCTGCACACCTTGACACCAGGAGCCTCAGCCTGCCCAGAGACCTGCCCGTGGTTCCTTGAGGAGCCCTTGAATACTCTGGGTTTGGCAAACTGGCTTTTTCCAAGGACAAAACATTCCCAACCCATTCTGTGGGTACGTGACCACCCATTGCAATGCACCGCCATCAGGGTCACCCACATGACCTCTATCACGGGACACACTGGGCATATCCGAGGTCCAAAAAGTCGAGACTAGAGGCCGTTGGAGGATGCATGAGGAAGGCAGCAGCCTGGGACAACGGGGATGCAGGGCACGGGGACTGGGTGGAGGCATGTATGGTTGCAACAGAGGACCTGTGGCATTGCTGGTTGGGGGATGATGGGAAGGTTTCCACTGAGGTCGTGGAGCAGACTTTGCCCTGGGTGTAGCCTTGGGGCTGTCGGGTGTGTGTGTGTGTGTGTGTGTGTGTGTGTTGCAGTCGTGCAACACCTGCCCAGGTTGGTTGGTGCTGTTTGTTTGTGGCAGCCCCACGTGAGGAACCTGACTTCCCTGAAGCAGAAACGGGTTCCCCCTCTAACCTACCCTGATCCAGGATCTGGAGAGCCTACAGGCTGCGGTGTTGATGAGGAGTGGTGCCACAGGAAACCTTGCACGACTTCCCAGTTGGCCGTGCCCATGGAGGGGCTTCTGCAGCAGGCAGCCTGGAAGTGCTAGGAGCCCTGTCCAGAAAGCCCAGAGCTGAGGATGCCCTTGGGGCATCAAGGGCTTGGCTGTGGGGAGCATACACAGAGTCCGCTGGGGGCACGGCCTGTACAAACCGAGTTCCTATGGGATCCTATTGCTCCTTGTCTCAGACCGAAAGTTTTACAGCCTCACCTGGACCTGCTGACGTTTGCACAAGCTAATTTGCACAGGACCATGGACGCTGGGCACATGCTTTGGACCCCTCGGAGCCCTCTCTTCTGCCTAGTCCCTGTTCTCGGGCTCAGACGTGGCCTCCGAGGGACTCGTAAATCCTGTGGGAAGTGGCTCTTGGGGGCATCTTCAGGCCTGAGCTGGTAATTAGACAATGCTTCCTGGAGTCGGAGGCTCATAGGGTTGGAAGGGACCTCATAAGCCATCTGGTCCAACCCCCTGCACAGATGCGGGACATGCTATCCCAAAACTGTTGCTTATCCAATGAAGCCACCTGCCTTTGTGTACAGTTTCCACATCCCTCTTCAAATGTGGAGCCCAGGGCCACACACACGACTCCAGATGAGGTCTGACCAGCACCGAGTGGGGTGGGATTGTCACCGCCTGTATCTTCCACCGAACGCTCCTGTCGACGCAGGTCAAAATCCCGTTTGTGTCTGATGCGAGTGCATCCCGCAGTTGACTCACGTGGAGTTGGTGATCCACCAAACCCCCAAATCCCTTTCAGCAATGCTACTGCCCAGCCAAGTATCTTCCGCTCCCTACGTGCACATTTACTTATCCTTCCCAACGTGCCGCAGCCTACGGTCGTCAGCACTGAACGTCCTTCTTCTGCAATCAATCAGCATCTTTCCCCGGTCGTCTTTCCCCACTTGAAACCTCCTGACGGGGATCTGTTTCTAATTACCTTGTCCTTACGGTTATTGAGCCAATTGCATACCCACCTTATATTGATGTTTTCTCTAGTTTACTGTTGCTGCATTGGTCTTCCAACAGAGTAGGAACTAAACCTTAACAACCCGGTGACTTCCAGGCATTAAAGCAACTAAAGCAGGCTTGGTGAGCTACTATTAGGAATGGGAAATTTAGGAAAATACGGCTGGAAAGTAATATGTAATATGGATACCTTTAAGAAATGCTTGGATGTTTATCTTGCTGGGGCAGGGGGCTGGACCCGATGATCTCACGGGGTCCCTTCCAGCCCTAATGTCTATGAAAGCTATGTCATTTGTTTTGACCACTGTACAGAAGGAGAATTAGAAATGATGGGACCTTTGCATTGGCCTAGGAGAGTCTATGCGGTGTTGTGTCAATACCTTGTCCTGGGCGTACGTGCATTTCCACCTTATCTATCCGGTCACAAGTATATTAGGGCTATGCTTTGAGGACAATAAACCTGGACTTTGCCACCGAACTGAGCCTGTGGTCATTCTTTAAGGCATGATTGGTGTGGGGATCATCCTGTCTGCGACTTTTTGCCAGCACTGCAGCCTCCGAGACTTCAGCATTGGCAAACCAGCGGTAACCCCCGAGGAGGACCGCAACGACAACACGGGACATCTACTCTTCCCTCTGTTGTACTGCTTTGTTACTGGAAACCAGTTTTAAACCTCTTAAAAACCAGTTTTTCTGCCTCTATTTTATGGGGAAGCATAAAAAGCAAGCTGAACCATCAGTGATGCCCACAGTTTGCAGTGAGGAGGGTTCATCTCAGCGCCCTGGCTATATGCCGAGGTTAGTAATGCCGGTCTGCCCTATGGATGGCCAGGATTTGTACGAGGGCTTGTGGAGGGTCGGATATGTTTTCAGAGTAGGCTGAGCCTTAAGAAACACCATCACATGAAACATTTCCCCTCTCCATCAGGGTCCCCCTGAGCTGATCTCGGCGGGGACGCCCTGCAAAAGGCTACCATGCAACTCATGAAGGTGGTCATTGTGGCTCAGTGGTTCAGACGATGGACTTGAAACCCATCAGTCTCCTTGTACAAAGCTGAATGCACAGAGCACCTGAAAACTCCCCGTATCGCTTCCCAGGAAGCCAGACCACATAGTTGCAATGACCCTTCCTCCCTTCATCACCTGGGAATGGATCGCTAACCGCTTCAGTTCAGGGACCGGTTTGGTTTGTTGCTTGAGCGCTCATTAGACCTGCTCGTCTACCCAAAAAACCCGGCATCCTTAGCTCCCCTCAAAGTTAATTTTTGAGATCTTTCCAACTGAAACCAAATGGGTCAAGGGAGTCATTTCAGATGGGACCCTCTACCTGAGCTAGCGGCCAATTGAAACAAGTGGGATCGCAGGATCAGGAAAATGCATGTGTGCTTTATTCATGTATATGTTTGAATACTGATGCTTACAGAAGTTTAGTTTAAGTACAGGTTATATCCCAATAGTATAGGCAAACATCAGCCGTTCATTCCCCATCCCTACGCACGCGCACACGCGTGCCCGCGTGTGCCACCTCTTAGCGTCACCCGGCCGTCGATGGTTTTATTGTGGCAATGAGAGCTTCTTGCGGCAGCATCTCTCTCGCCGCTTTGAATTGTTCGAGAGAGGATGCGATTGGTGTCCGCCATTTCCAGAGGTGCGCACATTGCCAGGAGCTCTCAAATTGCTCAGGAAATGGCACATCGGAAAATACCGTCCAGTGGCTGCACAGCATCCTGCATTTTAAAAAGTACTTTTCTTTGTGCTTGTGAAAGTCGAAGGGGCAAGGGAGCAACAAGTAAAAATAGTTTCCACCCTCTCCGGAGCCCTTGACCCGTGTATGATGCCGGCAGCTGTTTTGAATCTGTTGGTTCATGGGGAGATGAGCAATACAGCAACGTGTTGGCGGGGCCGAGACTCTGCATGTTGGTGGGAAATGTTTGTGCAAATGTCACCCTGTTTGTCTGCCGCACACCAGGACTGGTTAAAAAATAAAAGTCAACATCTGTCATTTTTCGCTGAGTTCAAAAATCTGGTGGAAGGAAGACGAAACTTTCTTGGAAAGCGTCATCTTGCTTTTGTCTCTCGTGGTAGTTGCTTTGCATGATAACTAATATCGTCTCTCACCCCACCCCACTGCTCGGGGCTCCCTGCTCCTTCTGTGTAACAATCCCTTTGTGCGAGCCTGATCCATTTTGCACCAGTGCGAGAGCGGTGAAAATCTGGCCCTGCTTCTCGTGGCTTGAGATACGGGGCGTTTACATTCAGAGAGCAGAGCGGTGGACAAGAAAAGGTTATGAATCGGGTTATTCTGCCTAGCGGTTGAGGTTGAAGCTTTGTGCTAACACGGCATCCAAAATGTTTCTTCAGCCTGGCTGCTGCTTCAAGTCTACGAGGGGTTTTTTAAACTTTTTAAATTTGGTAACATAAAATAATAACCTAGAGCTGTGGGGTAGTTACAAGGATCCTCACGAAATTGCTTCTCATTCCATCCGCTACTACTTACAAAATACTCCGGCTTTCCCTAATTGCAGTCATGCATCAAATACCACCGGTCCCCCGTCCAGCTCCTTCATTCATGTTGTTGGGCAGCCCATATAATGCTGGAAGCCATCATTTGTGAGGGTTTGAGGAAGGGAAGAAAACCAGAGGGGCACTTTCTGACTCGGTTGAAGTGTGTTGGAGAACTTCCCAGGAGGACGCAGTTGGGCCAAAGGCGGCATATTTTGCTTCAACAAAAGTAGGGAACTTTTGGCTCATGCCAACACCTGCTGGGGCTAAGACGTGACTCATCAGACCTTGTGAGCTTGTTTGAAAAGACCTGGCTTTGAAGTAACAGCTGCCCAGTGTCCATTTGCAATTTTTTTGGAGTATGGGAAGGCTCTTTGTGCACCTCATCCGCTCAACAAGGTGTTAAGAGGAGGTCTACAGAGCAGCTGGATCTGGGTCCTCAACCTCAACTGGGCCAGTGGTCCCTCACCTCGGCTGAGTATCCAACCTGCAAAGAACCTAGTGAACAAAATTCTCTGAACCTGGGTTTTTATGGGATGCTGATGCTGGGGGACAGGGGCTGTGAATTTTCTGACAACCTTGGGTAGAAACGTCCACTTATTCAGAATATAGCAATTAGTGAGGGACGTGGCAAGGTAGCACTTCAGCCTCTCCAGCAATATGTACCTGGCAGTGGGGCAAATGCCTATAAGAGGGCTACCTTTTAATGAAAATTATAACCCAGTACACAACCCAGGGGCCTATCTCAGAGTCAGACAGAGCAACAGGCAGAGACCTTTATGGGAGGAAACAGCCATTGCTATTTCAAGGTAAGGAATGGCAGCGTCCTTTGTAGACAGCTCACAAAGCAGGGATTCATTTGGGAGAGATGGGTCCCCACGTTAGGATATCACGTAGTCAAGCATGCAAACCCTCTATCCGCTGCGTCCTGGGTGACTTGCTGCTTTGCCTGGCACAGATATCGGCCATTGGGCTCAATGCACTTTGAGAGGACTCGCAGAAACCAAGATGCTCTCAAATCTTCTCGCAAACCACTACATGCTGGTTACCCTCATTGCTGAGGAAACGCCCCGGAAAACTCTCCGAGTGGGCTCTGGTGTTGGTAGACTGGCTGCTTCTGGGACCCAAACCCTGTTTTTATGGTGGTGTCTGAGTCTTCAGTAATCTCATGGTCTTGGATTATCCCAAGGGGCACATGGGAGCGGGGATCCCAGTAGGGCTTTGGCCAAGCAGGCTGGACACCAGGACTTGGCTGTACAGCGGGCATCCATGAGTCATGCCTTAGATGGATCAAGTGCTGGGGAATGCTTCGGTCTGATTGCAATTGTCCTTTAAAACTGAACAACTGGACACAGCAATCTGTTTATGTTGGAGGATGGGAGAAGAGGGCAGCGTATTTATTAATGCAAATGTTTTGGCTGGTTTCAGATCATGAGGTTCTGGATAGACCCATCAGTGGGTATTAAACATATTTGCTAGGTAAAACCTCCACATTAGGCTTTCCTAGGCCTCTGGATGCTGGCAGCTGGCAGGGGAGAGTGGCACAAGACAGCTCAATCCAGGCCCTGTATGAATACTCTTCCCTTGCTCATCTCTGCCCATAGCCAGCACCCAGAAGGTGCAATAAACTGAAGAAGGTATGATAAATCCTGCCGTAGGCAAGTTCAGGAAAATTTCCTCTTGACCTCCAATATTTCAGAGCATGATTTAGGCTCTGAAGGGAATCAGCTAACTTCTACCTAATGGCATGATGTATATTTAGTTAATTAACTCTCTAATGAGGGGACTTGGGGGTCACCCCTGTCTACGATATATTTAGCATGTACATATTTTCATGTCAGCTGGGTTTTTGAGCAGCCCAGTGTTTTTGAGGGGGGTTTTTTTAGGTGGTTGCTGGTATCAGTTGAACCTTTCTAGCCCATCTCTTGTTTCTGTGACTAAGGAAATTCCAAGAGACCATCTCGTGCGTCTCCAGAAAACATTTGCGCAGAACCTGCGAGTAGGAGTCATGGTCCACAACATCAATTCCTGCCCTACGGGCTCAGATGTAGAAAGAGCTCATAAAAAAACTAGCTGTGAAGGGGGAAAGCATTATAGTCTCACTGCATACTTGGATGTGACCAAAAAAACTACCCCGACTACCAGTGAGGGACGTCAGGGGCCGAGAGCGGGGTGCTAATATAAAGAGTCGAAGCCAGCGGGAAATGGAAAGCAACACGCGTGCTTCTTCCTGAAGACCGTTAATATGTGAACGTGGTTGCTGACAAGAACGGGACCCGCTGCAGCCTGGAGTGACATGCCAACGACATGATATGGTTTCACACATTTAGAAAAAAAACCACAGGCAGTTTCTGTGGGGAGCACAGCTCTCGTTCTTCCCTCCGAAGTGTCCACCTGTATCCTTGATGAGCAAAGCCAACCTCTTTGTAGATAACACAAGGTGATTTCCTCCGGTTGAACCAGCTGTGAATCTGTTGCAGCTTAGGCCACTCTGTAGAAAGGTTTTGAAGAATTGTGCCCGGTTGAGAGAGATCCCCCATCCACCCCTGGCAGCCTGCCTGGCCAGCCGAAACGTCCATACGGTGTTCTGGATAGGTCATCCATCAGGTGTCTGCTGCCCAGTTTGGATGTGCCCGTTTCCTCTGGATTCCTCGTTCCTCTTGTTGGGATCTTCCAAGTGACTTGTCCATGGCTTTGAACCCACATGAACATGCTACAGAGAGCTGAAGAGACAGGAGCTGAACCAAGAAGTGGAAAGGAGAGGAAGGAGCTGGTGAGACGACTTCGGTCCTTATAAAATAAAAGAGATTGGAGGGGCGAGGAGGGGATTTCCGCCTGCCCCCGTGCCCTCCCCCGAGAGTCATTTTGCTTAAAGAATCAGACAGGAACAGAGTCACCGCCGGGCGTGTGTTCGCTCTGTTTCACATGAAAAGCAGGAGTGGCGTGGCGATCCCCAGGGAAACCCACATCCGCCAGGCCCCCGCGGCACGGTTGGGGTCTGCTGAGCTGGAGGTCGCGGATGTTCGCCGAGTGGTTTCCCGCTGGAGCTTCTCGTTACCAGACACCTGCAAAGAGAAAAGAAGGGATGACGATGGTGAACCTGCCTTCATGTTCCCTCCTCCTGGAAAGTGAAAGAGGAGCGGGGTGCCTCATTTGGCTGGGCCTTTAAGCACGTTGCGTTCAACTGCATCTTGAGACAAAGAGAGGCGCAAAACCTCCTTGCTCCCAGAGCAATGGTGCCCAGGGAGGTTGCAGAATCTCCTTCCTTGGAGGTTTGGAGGCAGAGGCTGGAATGACACATGTCTGGGATGGTTGAGGACATGGCAAAGCCATCTGTGCAGGCGGTGGAGTAGATCAGGGGTGGCCAACCCACAGCAGGCAAGCCAGACATGGTACAGTGCAGCATAAGGCAGAATGGAGAGGGGACAGATAGGGCAGGAAGCATAGCAGCAGATCGGGCAAGGAGCAGAAAGCAGAGTGACCAGTTGGACAGGGAAAAGGGACCGGAGTGGCATTCGGGGAGGCTGCAGGGCTAATTTGTGGCAGCCCTGCCAAAAAGGTTGGCCCCTACCAGACTGAATGACCCTGGGAGTCCCTCCCGACCCTGGGACTCTAATGCCGAATGGACTTTATGAACCGAAGCCTTCAAGAAATCACTGGTCCTGATTCTGATCTCAATGCAACTCAGCTGAAGGCAGCAGTAGCTGTTGATCCATACCAAGGTGCAAAGGGAATTGGTTCCCTTAGTGTGGTCCTGTGACCCAGGGGATGAGGCGCCAGAGAGGGGCTCTGGAAGGCTGGCTTCTATTGCCAGCCTTGCCACTGATCTTGGCCAATCACTTCCCCACCTTGATAGTACCCGTGTCCCCCTGCTTTACTTGTGGCAGGTTAGTGTCTTCCTCGTATCTTTGGGCCACGTGCCTTGCAACTGTTTTAAGAACAGTTTGGACAAGTACATGTATGGGACGGATGGCACAGAGGTGTCTTGCTTTGAGCAGGGGTCTGGGCCACGTGGTTTCTCCAGGTCCCTTCCACCCCTACTCTTCTATGATGCTACGTGCACTTCAGTTTCTGCACCTGCGGAGTCGGGACAACAATGCCGAGCTTTCTGAGGTGCTCTGAGATCTCTGGTTCGAGGAACAAGGCATCTGTGTTGCTTTTTAAGCAAGAATCACATCCCGGGGCTACCATAAGCAGGCAAATCTACTGAGGTGAACAGCCTCCAACAACGATCAGAGGTCAGATACCATAATTGTCTCCCCTCTACGTCAAACCTTAGGATGCTACAAAGCTAAATAGCTTACTCGACACTCCGGTCCCTGCCCTAGCATGACCATGTAGTCAAGGAGCGGGGTTGCACTGCAGTACAGAAATGGATGGTATGTCTGCACTGCTACGGTTGGGTGCTCGGTCATGGTGGGTAACAGGATTAAGCTCTGCCCAGTGCTCAGCTTGCCCTTGCTGCCTGTTCACCCAGGCTCCCAGGCCAGTTTGGCAGCCTGCACTGAACCCTGTGCTGCCAGGCCCACTCTGTTATTGGCACCTGAGCTAGCTCGGGTACGTCTACACAGCCTCTAATCCCCCTGCTGACCTGGACTGCAATGCATCTGGGCTTAGCTCCTGGTTCTGCCACGGATTCTCTATGCAACTTCGGGCAAGTCCCTCGGGGCCAGACTTGCGGAGGGATTTAGGTACCTAATTCCCCCTGGTGTCACTGAGAGGTGAGGTACCTAAATATTTATGCAAGCTGGCTCTTGTTCTTTCAATGTGCAAGGGTGAAATGAAAACCAAGCTACCATCAGGGGGAGCGTTGAGTGGATAAACTCATGAATGCCTGGATGGGCTCCAACAACAGGATGAAGGGAGAGAGTTGGATCTGTGCTTTGGGACCTGTTTTGGAGGCTTGCTGACTGGTGAACCTCACGGCCTTTCTTTAGAAGCTCTTCATGGTTTGGAGCCCCTCCAGAGCGATCCATCCAGCTCCAGCCCACACCACTGGGCTGGATACCTCCTGGGGATTGCTTGTTGTAGTAAAGCCAGTGATAACCGGAGGACAATATTCCTGGAGTATCTCCAAGCCCCTGAGGGAAGCTGGGAGTGCAGATGGGGCCCAGCTGCCTTAATGAAAGATTGCAATTCCAGCTGGGTGGAGGAAGCTTTGGGCTTGTGTTTATTTTGTTCACCCCAATAGCTTTGATCCAAGTGCTATCCTCTAGCTTATGCACTACATGCTTAACCCCAGGCACAGGCGAGTTTGCTTTTCCCTGGGAACATGAGCCAGGGCTGCAGAGTCGATGCCTCCCACAACTAGCAGAGGATGCGATCGGTTGTCGTTCCAAGGCGAACGCCTTTTTCGGGAGCCGTCAGTGCAGGGCGAGGCCCGCAATGTAGCTTGGAGGCCAAAAGCCACCCATGGAGGTCTTCAGACTGGGTCCCTTTGGCTAAAGGCAGCTGCTGGCGAATGCAAGAAACAAGCTATTTCTAGATGTTTCTGGACCTCAACCAGGGTGCAACCTTGCCAAGCAGCATTAGGTGCGCCAGACCGCTGCAATGAACGGGACTGCTTGGTTTGCTCGTCCTCGTGCACTGCGGTGGTCTGGTGGACGAGGCTGGACGGCAATGCAATTTAAGGCGTGTTGTTGGCACTCCACGGTTGTGCCAAAGGCTTCCCTTCTCCACCAAGCTCGGTGTTTCTCAAGCTTTTTGAATGCAAGGGCTCCCCTCAGAAAATGCCAGCTCTTAGTTCTCGCCCGTATTTTAACTACAGAAAAATACCAGAGTGATTCTCCTGTAACGAAGACCTCGGCAGCCCACAATGTTCTGAACCTACTAGCTTCAATCTCTGGGTTTATCTTTGAATTGTGTTTGTGCACCTAGCAGCTCTTAACGTTGCTTGGACGTGTTGCACCGCGAGCTGGAAATGGGCATCGGGACATTCACTCTGAGCAGTGAATGGGTGGTGGCTGTGATGCGGCCTGCATCATTGGCTCATAGAAAATGAGGGTTGGAGGGGACCTCATGAGGTCTCCAAGCAGGACCAACATCGCTCCCTTGCATGTCCTTAGAGGGTTCAGGGTGGGAGGTTGCAGGGTGGGGGGCTTGGATTTGACTTTGGCTCCCAGGTGCAACTCCCAGGGTCCTGGTCAGTTGTGGGGGGTGTTCGCTGCTCACCCTTGCTTGCGGGTAGAAAGGGCCGGATCAACACCGAGCCACGGAAGTGTTTGGAGGCAGAGGGAGGTGCCTTCTTACTACCTCGCAAAGCAACACAGGTTGGAAACCAACTTCGAAAGCTTTGCACGATGGCTCCCCTGGGCCTGAAACAGCCAAGCAATACCAGCTGGCCCAGTCCAAACCCCAGAAGACAGCACTGGACCCAGTTAACTTGGAGCATCTGCTACCCAGAGTCCAGAAAAAAATCAGTGTCCTTTTGTATTTGTATAATTATGCAATATTTTTATGACTGTAAAATATGGTAAATCAGGGTTATTGTTATTCATCTAATGATAAATTAATGTTAACCATGTTATATGGCAGTAAGAAGCTGGGTTATGGCTCTTTATTCAAAGACAATTTCATAGGAGGATGTTGTTATGGCACCTCATGCCTTTCTACTGAGGATGTGTAATAACAAGATAAATGATATTGATATATCTTTTATATAAAGGATATTGCTATATCCTTTATATAAATGATATATATATCTCAAATATATAATGATCTGTATTTGAGGCTGGACCTGATGATCTCACGGGGTCCCTTCCAGGCCTAATGTCTATGAAATCTGTAATGTCTATGAAACTATATTATAATAATTTGCTTGTGTCTAGCACCTTTCAGTTGAGGACATCAGAGTGTTTAGTGAATATTAACTCAGCCTCACAACTGTGTGTCAGTTCTGTTTTATATGTGGGGAAACTGAGGCACAGGGCAATTAAATGATTTGATAGAAATCATAATGCAGTCAGGCTGGAAGGGAGGTGACCTAGTCCAACCCCTGCCCGAGGCAGGATCAGCCCCGTCCAAACCATCCCAGACAAATGCACGGCCTAACCTCGTAGCAAAACTACCATCAACCTTGACGCAAAACAAGACGTAACACCCGAACCTGCCACAGGTAAGGCTGGGGATCCAGGATGGCCAACATCCTGCTGCTGCAAAGGTTGTTAATGTACACTTGAGTGATCTCAGGTAGAGGACCACACCTCTACCCAAGAGCAAGCCAGCAAGAGGGCCAAGAATAGGACCCAGGAGTCCTGACTCCCCTCTGTAGGGAGTGCTCCTATTGCATCCCCTTACTGTAGGGCTGCAGGTGCTCTGGGCACCGTATGTAATGGCTGGGGACAGATTCCCTGTCACAAGGAACAAGAGGAGGAGACGATAATGCAATGAGGGGCGGTCAGGAGCTAGGGCGGTGTGGCTTGAGGGTTACTGTTGGGTTTGTTGTAAGTTCTCATAAAAGTGCGGGTGTGAAAAGGGACCAGGGGACGGATGGTGGGGTCAGCAGATGGGTTGTAGGGGACAGGGACATGGGGCTAAGCAGAGGAGATGGGGAAGGGGGATGAGCCAGGGTGCAGTCCCATCCTTCCCCATGTTGGCAAGCCCCTCGGCCGCATCCTTACCTTGGTAGGCTGCAGCTGCTCGAAGATGTTCTCTCGGAGGGTGGCCCCGGCCCTGTTGGCGTTCCTCTCCTGCTTGTACATCTGCGTCGTCGGGGGCACGGATGGGGCCAGGCCCGCGCTCAGGTACGTCCCGTTGCCAAAGGCCAGGATGGCATTTTCTTTGCAAGAGAGACAGAAGAAGCACGATCAGGGCCGTGTCCCCAAGGGGAGCGTTACCCCCCGGGGGCCCGGCTTCCTTTTAACCCAAAGTTCTGCTCAAGTTGTACCAGAGTTGGGTCTGTCAAGCCAGGTAGGGTGGTCTGATATCTATGCTCAGATAAGGCAGGGTCCCTCCCTGCCACTAATGTCCCAACCATCAAGGTAGGGTCAGATCCCCAGAGGTGGTTGAGTCCTGGCCGTACAGCTTCATGGGCCAGCCATTTCTCTGCCCTGTGCCTCACCTGCAAATCTGGGTTTCTTGGGAGGGGGGTCACAAGGCCAGGTGAGTTCCAGGTCATAAAGACTGAGCCCTTTCTGCCCCAGAATGGCCTGGTCCTGCACCAGCAGCAGAGCAAGGAAATCTGGGAGCTACTCCCTCTGCCCCATGATCTTTGAGAGCCAAGTCTGTGGGTGCGCTGACTCCTAGAGTCATGGGGGAAGTCTGGATTCCCCTCTGCCCTTTCCCCCTGAAGCAAAATGTGCCCATTCAGCTCTATGTGAGTGTGCAAAATGCACCATGCATGCAAAATGCACCCACCCAGCTCTATACAAGTGTGCAAAAATACACGTGTGCATGCAAAATGCACCCGCTCCGCTCTATGCGAGTGTACAAAATGCACCCGTGCGTGCAAAATGCACGTGTTCAGCTCTTTCTGGGTGTGCAAAATGCACCCATGCATGCAAAATCCACCCGCCCAGCTCTACATAATTGTGAAAAATGCACGTGTGCATGCAAAATGCACCCGCTCAGCTCTGTGTGTGCAAAATGCACTCATGCATGCACAATGCACCTGCTCAGCTCTACATGAGTGATGCTACACTACATGAGTGATGCCAGGTCTCTGGCCACCCAAGTCCAGCATGCCAGTGTTGTAGATGGCCCCTAAGGGAGCAATGGGGCTGGTATCCCCACCCCAAGCTGCATTGGCTGTTAGGAGTCTCAAACCCCAGACACCTTAACCACAGTGGCAATCTGACCTCCCCAGGGAGAGAAGCACAGCCCTGCATGCTCTCTGCCTGGAGCCCTGGGAAGGAGTGGAAGGCCCCACCGAGCACTGCAGCATGCACCCTTCAGGGCGCCGCATCCTCAATCCCCAGGGCATGATGGGTGCTGCTGAGGCTTTGCACAAAGGTAGGTCCTTCAGGGGCACGCTCAGCCTGGCAGCCCCTTCTCGCTTCCAGCCCAGTCATGTCTTCCCGGCATTTCCCAGCCACAGCCACCAGGCAGGCATCACAAGGGGCTCATTGCTTGCAGAGCAAGGACTGAACTCAGGCTTCTTGTGGTGTCATGGCCTGGCAGCGGCATGATGCCTGGGACACCTGCCCTGGGGGTGCCAAAATTGCATCCCCACCATAGGAGCCTTAGCTAGGGCAGGCGCAGCCCCGTGGTGCAGGTTACCCAGCGACTGTGCCTGGTTCCCATTCCTGGGCAGGAGTGGCGAAGACCTGGGTGAGAGGTGACTCCCTGCTCAGACCATACGGGATGCAGGGCTGCTCGGCTTCCACGGCTTGACAGTGCCCGTTGTAGGCCCCGGGGAGTGCAGAAGTTTCCTGGTGCAGAAATGTCCCCTTGTCAGGATCTCCCAGGGGTGACGGGGCCAGGGTCTCCACCCGCCCTCGCTGGCAGCCGCTAGATGGCTCACGTGGCAGCTCGTGGCATTGATGAATTCAGACATCCACGACTCCTGTCACCTCTTCTGGGACTCAGAGCCTGTTTGCAGAGCTCATGCTGCCTAGTCCTACATGTCACCTTCTCCTTTCTCAGAGGCCCCAGGCGGGTATTTTATGTGGTCGTACAGCAGGCAGAGCTCGGGCCAAGGCCTCATTGTGCGAGGGGACGAGCCCACTGTGCTTCGCTTGGCATTCATAGGGCTAACTTGCAAGTCACCTCACCTGAGCCAGGGGCACGGGGCTGGGAGTCAGCAGAGCCAGGGGTCCAATCCCTGCACTGACACTGCCCTGCTCAATGGCCTCAGGTGAGTCACTTCGTTTCCATCCCCTGCTTCCCTTTTCACCCTTGGGCCCATCTGTTCAGCCTGTGAGATCTTCAAGGCAGGGCTTGTCTCTTGCTATGGGCCAGAGCAGCAGGTGTCCGATCTTTGCTCCGGGTCCTATTGCAATACTAAGCAGGGTCAAATGCTGGCCTGCCCAGCCTGGGCGTCTCACGGCTGCCCCCTTTCTACCCTGGGGCTGCTGTAATTTCACTGGGAGGGATAATGGGATTGTCTGGCTGGTATCACGTGCAACATCTCTGGCTCTGGAAGGGGCAGGATGGACAGGCAAAGCTAGTCCCGCCTGGCAGGGGCAAGCGGTGGTTGCACTGGGTCCTTTGCAGACACGTTCCCCAGTGCCGGGGTGAGAGGTCCCAAAGTCCCCCCCACCAGCCATACAGAGGAGCTGCCCTTGCAGCGGGGACTTACGGAGACAGAGGTTGTCAGTGAAGAGGTGCAGGAAGCTCTCGCACTCTTCCTGCCGGTTCCCGCTGGCGTTGCAGGTGCACCAGGGCGCAATGCTGGAGGTCGAGTTGTCGATGTAGTTGGGCGTGATGGGGCTGCCTGCCAGGGAGGAGGGAGTGGGGTCACTGCTCTCAGCCCCCAGCCCATCTCCTCGGGACCTAGTGGGGCCCCTTCGCCTAGAACGGACCAGGAGAGCCAATGCAACGTGGCTGCAATTAGCTCTTTCACGGCTTGGTCGTTCACCCACCAGGAAGTGCCATCATGGTGGTCCCGTCTTTCCACACCAGCAACATGCCGCTCAGTGGATGCACCCAGCACCACCTCTCGCTGCCTTTCCACCGAGGTTAACCCGGCAGAGCCAGCATGGCAGAGCAAGTTGGATTCTTGTCTCGTGCATCTTCACGACCAGGCACTGCACTGCCCGGGACAGGGCAAGAGGCAGCAGGGAGGTGGGCTTGCTCATGAGCTCCCCGGGGCTGGCAGGGCCAAAGGGCGCAGCCTCCTACCTATGATTCCCGTGTACGCCAGCAGACACGCAGCGTAGTTCTCCTTCCGGCAGCCAGTGGCAGACTGCAGGGACGGCTGGCAATTAAACTGGAACTCTGCATATCGGGATCTGCATGAGACAGACAACAAAAAAAAAGCATCACTGCTACTTGGCCGGCTGCATTCACGGCATTCGGATAGCAGCAGACCCACTCATGAGCTTATTCATGCACGTATGCATTCTTCCATGGAACAGCTCCTGACCTAGGCACGCTCTTGCCCCCAGCAGATCAAGGCAGGTTTTTAGTATGATTATTCTCTGAGTCATTAAGCGGCGCTGTTATGTGCAAATGTACAACCGTAGCAGGCAGTCTTGAGGAATTACTGCATTTTCTTCTTAATTTTGTGACGCTCATTCTTTAGCAAGGGGCTGTTGCAAATAGCAAGGAAATTTGTTCTTTGCTCAACCGAGTCCATTCCTGGGGGCAGAACTGCCACCCAGTGGATGAAGCAATCAGGGCTCATGGTAGAGGTGATAGATTTTTGCAAAAGAAGTCTTTAATTTTTGCAAAAATCTAGTGGATCTAATAAAAGATATCGCCTCTACCATGAGTCCTGATTGCTTTTGCCACTGGACCAATGCAGCTACAACCTGGATACCTCCCAGTAGATGAGGCATTGGTTTTTAGAGCGTAGACTGTAGAATGACGAGATTGAGTGCTATTTGTGTCCACCTCTGTTCAAGGACTGGTGCCTCTGGTATACGGTAAACCGATTACACTGAGAAAATACTTTAAACATCACGTAGTCAATTATTCCTCTAATGGGCCTCCAATCAGCAAGGCCCCCAAATCCGCAATTTGCTTGGAAGAAGGCCAGCAGTATTAATGGAAAAGCAACAATCTGTGATGTTTCTCTCACCCACACAGCGCAGCCGTATGCTGCCAGTCTAGATAACACCTGTTTTAGATTAAAGGTAACAACAAAAGCAAGGGAGAACAAATGTTCTTTTTTCAAAGAGTTCTTATTTCAAGGAGCGTGGATGTCTCTTCTGCAACATGTGGTACCCATCACAGACAACTGAGGCCCTGGTCCATAACTGGGGCTCGTGGTTGCTATGGTGATAATGATGATGATAATGCAGAAAGGCTTCCAAGAAGAGTGCAGAGTAATGTGTGCAGACTAAGAGCTGTGTGTGTCACAGAAGGACAACACCAAATCAACAGGGTCCCCATATTTACTCCAAAGTCCATGCTCATCTCCACGCTGATGGCAGATTTATAACCATCTATGACTATAATTAGTTGCTTGTTTTATGGGCATGCCTGATGCTAAAAGCAAGGCTTGGAAGCCCCTTTGCCTGTAAAAGTGGTCTCTGCCGCAGGCCATTTGCAAGCCAGGGTCTTGTATGTTTGGTTGATTGGATGCGTGTGTTGTGGTACCAGCAAGCCTGCTTTCAACAGGATCTGTACGGAGAAGAGGATCCTGTCCCACCCTAGAAGGAATTAGGGGAGGGGGGGCTAGGGGTCTAAGTCCATGCCCTCCTAACATGCCCTATTCAAGAGCCACAAAGCTGCTGGGATGTCTCCGTTCCTTACATGTCTCTATTTTGGCTTTCTGAAAATGCTCACAAGAAGTCTATGGAGGCATCTACCTTCACTTATGCTCCTTTGATCCTAATATGTCTCAGGAAGTGTCTAAATTCTGTTCACATCCACAGGATTTAGTCTCAGAAAAAGCATGTGTAGCAACTGTTTGGTGCTGAGAAGAGGATGACAGGGGCCCTTCTACCACTTAGCCCAGAGGTATTTAACCTGCTGCCCATGGGACCATCTTATCTGGCCCATGGAGCTCCTCATGGGTCTGGAAATCTAGCCACGTGGCCATTTCTGGCATGCAAGGTTGGGCCATCACACTGGACTGTACCCACGAAGTGGCCATTTGTGGAATGGGAGACTCAGGTTCTTGGCATTGGTCATGCAGTGTGGATTTGAACCCATATTTACATCCTGGCAAAGTGTCCTGTCCACCAGGCCATGGGGTAGGCAGGGCTAAGAGGGCTTCTGTGCCCCTGACCTCAAAGCTGGCTCAATGAGCAACCAAAAGCAGATGTGTTATGGGGCCGGGGGGCTGGACACGATGATCTCGCGAGTTCCCTTCCAGCCCTAATGGCTAGGAAGTCTATGAAATCTCCTTGCTGCTTTGGATAGCATTGTGATCACTGTGTTCAATAAACACAGGCCTGTATGAATGAGAAGAACTAACAGCAGTGAACTTTATTGTGGAGCAGTAGGCAACCTTTGCAATCCCTTAGTTTGTCTCTAACAGCTATTACCTGAGGGACCATCTCCCGACTCCCAACACTTTTAAATTAGCAAGCGTCTCTAAATGATGACTTTTATCATTACAGACAGGATACTTTTATCCTCAGAGATAGCCCCACCCCCCTGTCCTCTCAGACACCTCCAGCATGGAGGCTGCCTCCCATTAGAGATCGTCCCACGTTGCAACTCTCCTTCCTGTTTCCGATCAGAAGTGCTCAGACCACCTGAGAGCACCACAGGCAACCCCACAATACGGCCATGTTCTCCATCACGCTCCTTGCTGGAGCCCTGTTGCTTGCAGGGTGGTTCCTCACAATCAGTAATGTATCTGTCCTCCCAACGCCATGCAGAGGCAGAGCAGGGCCAGTACCTCCGTTTGACAGGCAACTACCCTTCAGCTCCCTGCAGTTACTTACACTTTAGGGAAAAACAGATGTCAGCTTCCTGCCCCCGAACTTGAACCAAGAAATCCTACAGGCATACAAGCCCATTGTCCCGCTTCGAGTACCTGTGAAATATTCAATATAACACTTCTCCCAGAGCAAGAGCAGCTACTTTTAGTTAATTGCCATTTATTTCAGGGACTAGATACATGTATAAAGTGCTATGCCTCTTCCAGGGCTTGACTTGGATCATAAAATCATAGAAAATGAGGGTTGGAAGGGTCTATAGGAGGTCACATCTAGTCCAACCACCTGCTCAGAGCAGGATAAGCCCTAACTGCATCATCCCAGCCAAGGCTTTGTCTACCTGGGTCTTCAACACCTCCAAGGATGGAGACTGCACCACCTCTCTGGGGAGCCTGTTCCAGTGCTTCACCACCCTCCTAGGGAGAAAGTTTTCCCTAATATCCAACCTCAACTTCCCTTGCTGCAGCTTGAGCCCATTGCTCCTTCTGCCATCTGCCCCCACTGAGAACAGCCCAACTCCATCTTCTTTGCAACCTCCCTGCAGGGAGGTGAAGGCTGCTATTCAATCCCCCTCGGTCTTCTCTTCTGCAGACTAAATCAGCCCCGTTCCCTCCGCCTCTCCTCACAAGTCAGATGCCCCAGCCCCCAACCATTTTCATTGCCCTCCACGGGGCTCTCTCTAATTTGTTTGACATCCTTTCTGTGGAGGGGAGCCCAAAACCAGACACAGTTTGGGGCCTAATACACAGTGAGACGGTATGATCCAATTTACAAGTTGCTTCCTGCAGCATCCAGTGCTGGGCTGAGCCACTGAGACTGAGCCGGACAACACATGAGAGCTGTGGTCCCTGCAGCAGCTGAGAGGCAGGCCTGGCCTGGGCTAAGTGGTTATTGTAGGGGATGTAGGGACAACTCCCTGCTCTGCCACTGACCTGATTTGACCTTGAGCAAATCACTCATGTGGATCCTCAAAGGTCATTAGAAGGGGTAAAAACAGATGTTGCGTTTGAATTGGTTCTGATTGGTAGCAGCACAGCCAGCAGATTTAGTGATTCTTCCCCTCTATTGGGTACTTGGGAGGCCACATCTGGAGTACTGCCACGAGTGAGCTGAATGAGGACTTTTTTTCAAGAACCTTTATTTTTTGCAAAAATCTAATTAGTAGCCCAGGTGAGCGGTGAGATGTGTGCAAAACAGCGTATGCATTTCCTTAGGTGGTAACTGAGGCCTGTATCACTCATTAAGTCCCCACAAACCCCCTGCTTCCAAAGTACACGTTTCCCTATGTCCACCTCGGCTTCACCATCTCTTCCATCACCATCCGGATGGCTTTCCTTTGGCCTCACCCTACCACTCTGCTCATCGCTTCACAGCCCATCCTAAAAGAAATCCTCACCAAGTGCACAGCATTGCAGGGTTTGGGGTTGTAGCCGCTGTGGGTGCAGGCAAGCTTCTTTGGGTAGATATGATCTCTTTTATTAGACCAACTGGGTAGTTGGAAAAAAAAAGTTCTTTTCAAGCTTTTGCGCCCAAGCGCCCTTCCAAAAGCTTGCAAAGAACTTTTTTCCAACTGCTCCGTTGGTCTAATAAAAGATAGCACATCTACCCAAAGAAGCTTGCTTGCCAATGGCCATAACATGGTGAGAGCTGACAACACGCCAGCAGCACCTGAACAGCCATCAGCGCACAAGACGTGGTCTCTGAAGACGTGCTCCACACCATGAAAAAGCACGGGGTGCCCTGCACCCCTCCGTGCGCTCACAAATGTACCCACCGCAGCAGCCCAGACCAGGACCTGTGGAGGGCATCTTGGAGCAGGGCTAAAGAAGCTGGCACCCCTCACATTTGCTGTGAATGGGCAGTTTCCTTGGTGGATTTGAACTGGGATTTCTGTAGGGAAGAGACCAAAGTGATGAATAAAGAAACTCCCCACTCTAAAGGCATTGGTGGCTACAGAATAAGTTTTGCTCCAGAGAAAATCCCTCTCGTGCTCACGCACGTGCACATACAGCCCTGCCTCAGGCAGTCACTCCCTGTTCCTCAAGTCAGCATCCACAAGGACTGTTCATGGGCAACTGCTTTGATTTCCCTTAGCAGGTGGCCCTGTGAACAGGTGACTGGAGACACAGTCATCTCCTGACACGGATGATCAGCCAAAGGGCATTTCTTGAGGGCAGGGGAGCAGGGAGAAACCTGGTTTTACTGCATTTATGGAGCATTGTGACTGACATTAAGGGCTGACTGCCACATCCCTCACTGATGCTGTTTTGAGGAAAGAGGGGCCTGGATATCTATTAGGGCTGTGTGTGGTTTCAGATTGGGCGTTTCAGAGGGACGGTGTTTCACTTCGGTGTTTCATTTCGGTGTTTCGTAGGGCTGTCCGAAACAGCTGTGTTTTGGTTTATTTCAGATTCAGCATTTTGGAGGGACAGTGATTCATTTTGGTGTTTTGAATCACTGTTCCATTTCATTTTGGCCAAAACTGTTTCGGAGCTGTTTCAAAATTTCAACCGTGTTTCAGCCTTAGGCTATAATGGGAATCACAAAACTGCCTAAAACTTTGTCATTTCTTGCCTGATTTGGATGAAACTTGCAGAGATGGTAGCCCCTTCTAAGGCCATGAAGCCTGCCAAGTTTCAAGGAGACAGATGCAGGATAGATCTGGGGGCTGCTCCCCCCAGGAGGAGTCTGGCACAGCTCCGCAGCCCTCCCGGGGGTGCAGGCCCTCAGATCTGCATGCGGGATGACAGCAGTCTGCCACTGCTGGTTTGGGCCAGCACCAGCACTGGGTTCTTCCTGGTGCTTGGCGCAGGTTGCTCCGGGTAGACTTGGGTGCTGGTGCTGGCCCCAGCTGGCAGCATGCTGTCATCCCCATGCTCTGCATCTGGTGAGTGCAGAGCTTAAAAAAAAAGCCCCACACTCACCAGTTCTGGCAACAGCGATTGGAGCTCTCTGATCATTCCCCCAGCTCTTCCCGGGGGGCATGGCCCCAGATGTGCGTGAGGTTTCAGCAGGCTGCTGCTGCCGGTTGGGGAAATAGCCTAGAGCCATTGCCATCCCCAGCTGGTAGCAGCAGCCTGCTGTTATCCCACATCATCTGGGGGTCCATGCCCCCCAGGAAGAGCTGGTGGCAGCATTGGGGAGCTGGGGAATTGAACCGGATCCTGGAGGAATGTTCAGGGACCTGAACATGCCTCCAGTTCAATTCCCCAGCTCCCGGTTTGATTCCCCAGCCTTGGGATTGGAAGGGACCTCAGGGACAGATGGTTGTCACTGGCCACTAGCTCCAGATATCAATATCAAAGCAGTCCTTCCTCCCCTTCTCCTCCTCCCTTTTCCCTGCAAGCCCGCCTCCAAAATGTTTTGGAAACATCCAAATCGTTTCAGAAAATTTCTGAAATGTTTTGGATGGCCTGTTTCATTTCAGAGCTGTTTCGGAGCTCTGCATTTCATTTCGGATTCGGTGTTTTGACCGTTGAAATGTCCGAGTCCAAAACAAAACAAAACAGCTGCCGAAATTTCACACAGCCCTAAAATCTATGCCTGCAACCCTGCATTGGTAGGAGCGTTGCCAGCAGATCGAGGGCAGTGATTCTTCCCCTCTATTCTCCACTGGGGAGGCCACATCTGGAGTCCTGTGTCCAGTTTTGGGCCCCCACTACAGAAAGGATGCGGACAAGTTGGAGAGAGTCCAGCAGAGGGCAACAAAAATGGTTGGGGGCTGGGGGACAGGACTGGTGAGGCGAGGCTGAGGGAACTGGGCTGATTTAGTCTGGAGAAGAGAAGACCGAGGGGGATTAAATAGCAGCCTTCACCTCCCTGCAGGGGGGCTGCAAAGAGGATGGAGCTGGGCTGGTCTCAGTGGGGGCAGATGACAGAAGGAGCAATGGGCTCAAGCTGCAGCAAGGGAAGTTGAGGGTGGATATTAGGAAAAACTTTATCATGTGAAGGGTAGGAAAACACTGGAACAGGCTCCCCAGAGGTGGCACAGTCTCCATCCTTGGAGGTGTTTACAACCCGGGTAGACAAAGCCTTGTCTGGGATGATGTAGCTGGGGCTGGTCCTGCTTGGAGCAGGGGGTTGGACTAGATGTGACCTCCTGAAGGCCCTTCCAGCCCTTATTTTTGATGATCCTAACCCACTGCTCCTGTGCTCTGGCTGACTTCCTTAGGGACCCCTCCTTTTCCAGTACTGGGTGTTGCGTGGACCCTGCATCTCAGAGGCAGAGCAGACCCTGGTTTCCAATGTAGCTCCTACTTCTAATCCTTCTTACAGGGAGCAGCTCATGGTAAGACTTTGGGAGAACCAGGTGCTGCTCCCTGGTTCCCCGTGTGACCTCAGATAAAAGCTTGAGCTCTTTGTGCTCAGTTCACCCCTGCACAGTAAAACGCCCATTCCCATTAAAGTTTCCCAAGCCCCTAACGCTGACCCTAGTCAGTGCCCTAAATAGTGTTTGCAAATTGCTCTGGCCAATAGATGCTTTTAACAAGCCCTCCTGTTAGTTTTCTCACCTACTTTTCCAGCCCATAATCGAAGCCTAAGGAAACCAAGGAGGTTGCCCCAAGAACCTGCAGCTGGCACCTCCCAGGCTGCCCCTAGACAGCTCTTTGCTGTATCCACTGCACCACGGGGCCTGGTCCGCAGCCCACTGGGGGCAATAGGCAGGCACCCTTCAGGCACCCCTGGGTTGGATTAGGCCCATCAAGGGGTGAAGTGGCCCCTGCATCCCATGGGGTCACACGAGTGTTACCTGCAGACGTAGTTTTCCTGGCAAGCATCCAGAGGGGCCAGGCAGTTGGGCTTCTCCTTGGCCTCGTAGGAGCAGGCAGGGACGATGGTTTGGCGCCGGCGCTCAGCACAAGCTGTGTCCTCGCAGGGGCAGAAGAGCAGCTCGTGGGTGTACTCGGGGGGCACGCGGTCGAAGAACTTGCGCAGGGCCTTGTGGCACTTGGAGCGGTTGCAGGTGTCGGCCCGGGCCACGCGCCGGATGCAGAAGGAGACGTACTCCGTCCGCAGCCGCTGGCACATCTCGTCCACGTTGCAGGCTTTGGCGGCGTCCAGGCAGCGGTTCACCTGGGTCACCTCGTTCTCCGAACCTGCAGCACCAGGAGACACCGAGGAGGCAGAGCATCACTTCATGGCAGGGCTGGCCCTGGCTGGACTGCCCCAACAGACGGGCTGGGATTGGTGCTGGGGTTCAGAAGTGATCCCATGTGAAGCGATGAGGAAACCAGCTAACTTCTAAGTGTCCCTCCCCAGCCATTTGGAGAAGGGATGGAGGGAGAGTTTCTGGGCACTGCCTAGGTCTGTTGGCTACCCTCTCCCTAGTCCTCACTGGGTCCTCCTGACCTGCTAGGACCTTCTTCCTCTGGCCTCCTTCCCAGGTTTTCTCCTGCTTGCTCAGCCCTGCCTAAGGGTGCAACATTTCCTGGCAATACCCACCGGCGATGTCAGCAGGATTATGCACCAGAAACAGCCGTAGGAGCCCTGCAAGGATGTGGCTACCACGTGCACCAGCATGCTCTGCCCACCTGCCCCTGCCAAACACAGCGACACGGTGGCCAGTTTCTTGGACCTTCTTCTAAAGTGTCTTGGACTGGTCATGGATGGAGGGAGGTAGATGCAGGTTGGATCCAGCCTGCTTGCTCCACACAATAGCTAGAGAGATGGGGAAAGTGAGCAGGGGGCCTGCAGCACCTCTGAACCAGTGAGGATTTCTACCCCAGATGGGTGGAAGAGGGTTGCACTGAGGGGGTTGTACAAGGGGGTGGGAGCTTGCTTGTCTCATGAATGATCAGTTAGGCCCAACTTTCCAGCCCTTCAAGCTAGATGAATGGCGTGAGGCTGGTCTGTGGGTTGGATCCTGTGAGGGGTTGCTCCATGGCTGCGATCTAGTATGCCAGCCTAAATCTGCATCCCTGGATCCAGCTGTGCACTGGGGTGAGTCAGTGCACAAGGCCATGCTATCCGGCTCCCTACAGGCCTGGAAATTTGGCAGCAGGGAAGCGACAATTAGCATTGCCATTGCTCCTCACCATCACGTTTCCAGACACTTGGGGATCCCCCTGGGTCGGATGACATGGCTTCACCTCTGGATCAGGGGTTGAGCACCCCGAATGAAACTATTGACAGCAAACAGACCACAAAAACCCCAGGTTTATGGTGGTGCATTTCCTCCAAATCCCAGCAGTGGCCTGCTGGTAAACCAGCCTCCTAAGGTGGGAGGAGACCACTGCCAGAGGTCTGGAGCCTCGTTACCTGCCGAATCCAAGCCCCTCACAGCAACTCCCAAGGTATTTATCCTCGCTGAAACCCCATGAGGCCGAGCAGTGCTGTCACCCCTACATCATACAGAAAATGGAAACTCAGATCATCAAAGGTTTTTACGAGCCTAATTTCCTCAGTCCAGGCCACTGAAGATCGGGGTTTGGTGACTTGTCTGAGGTCTGTGACAAAGCAGGGAGTCTCTCTGAAAGCCCAGTCTACTGCTCCAACCACTGGGCCATCCTTCCCCTCTTGCAAGGTAAGGTATCCAGGTTGTAGCCATATTGGTCTAGAAGCAACCAGGGCTCATGGTAGAGGTGATATCCTTTATTAGACCAACTAGATTTTTGCAAAAAAAAAAAAAAAAAAATTGCAAAAAAACCCCAAACAAAAACTTAATTTTTGCAACAACCAAAAAAAAAAAAAATTGCAAAAAACAAAACAAAAACAAAAACTAGATTCCCTCCCCCCAATTTTTTTTTTTGGCAAACATCTAGCTGGCCTAATAAAAGATATCACCTCTATCATGAGTCCTGATGGCTTTTGCAGGCTGTAAAGTACTCATCACCAAAGCCAGTTGCTGCATGAGGCATTAAGCATCTAAATCAGGATCCGATGCAGCCGTGGGATGGGGAAGAGAGGTGAGGAGAGGAAGATGGGAGTGAGTCACAGAGGTTCATACACAGTTTGGAGGCTTCAGAGGCAAGTAGCAGAGGGATGAATGGATCCGAAACAGGCCCAGCGCAGGGCCCTTAGCATGAGCTGGCACAGCGGGGGTGAGGCTGCAGATGGGGTCCAAGGAAGATGGAGCAGTGCCTATGCGGGCCGATTCGGGGGGCCTCTCACGCTTGCAGGGAGACATGGGGAAAATGAGTGGAGGGAGCTGCTCGAGGCACACAGCCAGGGTCCTATGTGACAGGAGAGGGTCAAAACCAGGAGAGTTTGGCCCCAAGAAGGAGGGTTACAGCCTGAGCCCACGTCTATCCTTTATCCCTTCCTTCAAGAACAAGGCGGGGAAGTCACAGGCAGGTCAAGCCATTAAAATATTTCCCTACCCAGCGTGAAGCCAGAGGGCAGAGGGTCAAACAGCAGGGCCTGGATAGGAAAGAGGATAAGCCACAGCAATATCTGTAGATAAACACAGGCAGCTCAGCCCAATCTGCAGGGTATAAAATTACCCCCAGGGAGGAATTGCCCCTCAAGGTGCCTGATGGGTTAGCGTGAGGCTTCAGCATTGGGGGCAGACGACTGGACATGACAAGCCGGCATCTGGATTCCCCATGGTGCATTCACCTCTTCCACAGGCGAGACGTTCCCGGGTTTCCCACTACAGCTCGCCGAGGCATGGCTTGAATTACGCCGGGTGTCCAGCCCCAGCCGTGGCACAGCACCTGGCTGGCATCCCTCTGTGCAAGCTCCATCGTGTTACAGCCATATGAGCCTACCGCTACCCCACGCCTTGAGTTCTGGCTCCATGCTTCATTAGGCTCTGCTGCAACACCATGATAACAGAGTGCTACCTTGGACATCCCCTAATCCCAATTGCTAGAGAACTACGAGGCTCCTGGGTTTCTACGTACTCCGGTTTTGTTGCATCTCCTATCTGCAGTCTCTCACAGTCCTTCTGCCAGTATGGAGCAAGATGGAGGTCTCCCATTGTGGAAGCTGGGAAAACAGCCAGCTCCTTGCCCTGAAGCCCATGGGCAACAGCCAGCTAGTATCATAAGAGAGCGGAGAAAGTCTAGGCTACTTCCTCACCCCACTAAGAGGACAGCCAAGGGAACTGGGAAAGGTCAAAAGGAGAAATCATGACATCATAGAGAAGTAGGGCTAGGAGAGACCTCAAGAGGTCATCTAGTCCAACCCCTGCCTCAGGCAGGCAAGATCGTGTGTCCCGTATGGGGATCGCAAGGCAGAGTCAGCGATGGTTTTCACAGAGGAGGCAGGGAACGGGGACCAGGCTGAGTGAGCGGGTCCAGAAAAGATGCTGACTCCAGGCAGGGCTTGGACCTGAGCCCCCTTGGTTTCTACCTGGATTTCAAAGAGATGATCAATGGTGGCGGATGGCGATCTGAGCCATCGCCACTGAGAACCGAGCCTTTAAAGAGGTCGGTGAATGATGAGCAACACACCGCGAGAGTCTCTGCAGGCCGGTGTGCACAAACCTTGCTTGTGGCATAGCGGCTGCGCTTCAAGGTGGTTCAGGGCCTTTTTCACTCGATACCACGAGCGCAGTGGATGAGGGCTGAAAATGCTGCACCTGTATGATTGCAGAGGAGCTGTTGTGCAGAAAGGGGTGGGAGAGCTTCGCTAGGAAAGTATCATGACGCCCCTTTATAAATCCACGGTCCACACCTTGCATGTTGTGCCCAGTTCTGGTCCCCACACCTCAAAAAGGAGATAGAAGAACTAGACATGGTCCAGAGAAAGGCAACAAGGATGATTTAATGGTATGGAGGTCATGGGCGATGCATAGGGGATGCATGTGCACCTCCTGAGATTGGCTGTGCACCCCCTGGAAGTGCCAGCCATGAAAACGGAAGTGCCGGTGGAAGTGCACTTCCGGTTTTGCCCCGGCTTGATAATCGCACCCCACCGTCGGTGATCTGGTGCCCCCCAGACTCAGCAGGCACCAGTCGCCCATGATGGAGGGGCTTCCACACGAGGAGAGACTAAGGAGGCCAGGCCTATTCAGTTTAGAAAAGAGATGCCTGTGGGGGGGGACGTGATAAGTGTTTACCAAATACTAAGTGGTGAAGAGCAAGTCAGTAGGGATTTATTATTGGCCACGTCTCACAAGGCAAGAACTAGGGGGTCACAAAAATGAAACAACGAACAGAAAACAGAACAGAAAACAATTCTTTTTCACACCGTGTAGAATTGAAGTGTGGAGCTTGTTGCCACCAGATGTGGGGGAAGCTGAGCATTTCGCCCGATACCAAAAGGGATTGGACACATTCTTGGAGGAAAGGGGCGTTGGTAGCTATTGATCACGGGAGGTAGGGATACAGCCTCGGACCCCGAACTTCCTAGACCAGTGGTTTTCAACCTGTGGTCCACAGGCCTCGGACTTTGTCTAAGGGGTCTGAGAAAGATAACTATGATCGGTCCAAAGGATGTGAATACCCACACTCACAATTCAAAGGGGTCCGCGCCTCCATTGGCATTTTTTTAGGGGCCTGAAAATGAAAGAAGGTTGAAAACCTCTATCCTAGACCTCAGATGCTGGAGGCTGCAAGTGAGAGAGGACCAGTGGGGAAAACTCCCCTGGTCAGACCCCTTCCTGCATCCGCTCTGTGCCCCTGTGTGAGACAGGAGACTGGGCAAGGTGGACCTATGGTCTGACCCAGGACATGGCACTTCTTATCTTCTTCTAAGCTGGGTGGAGATCTCAAGACACCAATACTGTAAAGCACAGCAGAGGGTGGCTTTGTAGCAGCGGTCTCTGGAGGAAATGGCAGGCTGTGGGCACCATCTCAGATGAGCACAGAGTCCAGCAAAAGAAAAGTTAGAGCTCATCTGATTCCTCCGAAGCTTCGAGAATGTCACTGGCAGGAAACAGAGTCAACGGGCCATTTGCACCTTGCTTCTTCAAGGTCGCAGCTCCACCAGCTTCAATGGGATTGCTCTCGATTGACTTCTTTTTACAAAAGAGCAGATTCATAGTCCTGGACGTCTCCGAGATTAACCCTCTGGCAGAGCCAGGTGGTCACTCCAGCAAAGCACCCAAAAGCTAGTGCCCAGGCCATGAAGGAAAACCCTTCCAAAACCAAGCCCGTGGTTTCTTGATGTGGTTTTACAATGGAAGAAAGAGACCCTAGGAAACCAAACG